GTGAAATGAGGACCCAGACTGCTAAAAAATTTCTAAACCGCTTAGAGAGGGCTGAAAGCCCTATGAAGCAGTATATAAGTCTAATAAATAAAATAAATGAACACTGCCTACAAAGACTTCATATGTTAGTATGTATTTGGAAATTCTAGATTCGTTTGTCTCATTAATTGTTTCTTCCTACTTGGTTGATGATTTACTTCATAGGTAGCTGAGATTCCGGCATGGTACAGGTAGTTTCCTGACTAATTATCAGTTGCTTAGCAACTGTTTCAAGTTTGAGGGCCCCTCAAAGGCACTTAAAACCCCGATTCAAAGTTCTGATGGTTGTCCATTAACTTCTTTTCATTATAGTATAAGCAAATTCATTGGAAAATTGCCGTATAAGAGCCAGTCGCAGCCTCACATTTATTTCAAAAATCTCTCTGAGTCCTAGTAGGATTAGATTAGGACAGTGTTTCTCAACCTTGGCAACTTGAAGATATCCGGACTTCAACTCCCAGAATTCTGGGAGTTGAAGTCCAGACATCTTCAACTTGCCAAGGTTGAGAAACACTGGATTAGGAATAAGGAGATCCAGGTTTAGGTCCACTTTCATTCATAGAAGCTCACAGGTGATTTTGGGCCTTGATTTATAACCATTCATTTAGGGATCATTTGTAGTTACAATGGCACTGAAAAAAGTGACTTATCACTCTTTTCACACTTATGACCATTGCAGCCTACCTGTGGCTATGGGATCAAAATTTGGACACTTGGCAACTGGCTTGTATTTATTATAGTTGCAGTGTCCTGGGGGGTCATATGATTGCCACTTGTAACTTCTCATAAGCAAAATCAACAGGAGGTCAGATTCACTTAACAACCATGTTACTTATTTAACAGCTGCAGTGATTCCTTTAACACTGTGATAAGAAAGATAATAAAATGGGGCAAAGCTCACTTAACAACTATCTTGCTTAGCAACAGAAATGTGGGGCTCAGTTAGGTCGTAAATCAAGGACTACCCGTACTACATGTTTCTGCTCATCGAAAAATCTCCTCCCTTATTTTATGCATTTGTAGAAATCACATTCGCATTTTACAGAACGAGCAAAATACAATATATATATATATATATTTGTGCTGATAAATAAATAAAGGGAGTCTTTATTTAGCACAAATACAACAAAATGTAACAAAAAGGCAACAGTAAAAATATTGGGTTTCTGTCTGGATGGTCTCTTGAGACGAGCCGAAGGACAGAGAATGGAAGTAGGGATCTTCCTCCCATATTTGGGCATACCGGGGGTTGTAAAAGAAATCTTACATACATACATCTGTAAAACGCTCAGGTACTTTGGCCACCAACAGGTGAAAGGAGAGGGACTCCTTGGAAACGACCCTGATGCTGGCAAAGACTGAAGGCCAAAGGAGCGGCAGAGGACGAGATGGTTAGATAGTGTCAGGGACAGCGTGGGCGTAAATTTGAGCAATCTCCGGGAGACAGAGGAGGGCAGAAGGAGGCCTGGCTTGCTGTGGTTCATGAAGAATTGGACACGACCTAGTAATTGAATAACAAAAAGTGTACAAAGCAAGTAAAATATAAATGAGTAAAATCTCTTTTGGATTTCTGGGACATTATAGTTTTTTAAACACACAATCCTTCTCCCTGACATGCTAAATCAAGGATTTACTGTGAATATGAGTAGCCAACTCATTGGACTACTGAGCCCAACATTTCTGTTGTTAAATGAGACATTTGTGAAGTGAATTTTGCCCCATTCTACAACCTTGCTTGGCATATTTGTTAAGTGAATCCCTGCAAGTTGTTAATTTAGTAACACGGTTGTTAAATGAATCTGTTTTCTCCATTGACTTTGCTTGTCAAAAGGTGACAAAAGGTGATCACATGACCCTGGGACACTGCAACAGTCATGAGTCAGTTGCTAAGCATCTGAATTTTGATCATGTGACCATGGGGGATGCTGCAATGACTGTGCGAAAAACTTTTTCCAGTCCTGTTGTAACTTTGAATGGTCACTAAACAAACTGTTATAAGTTGAGGACTACCTGCATTTTCAGCTCTTTCCAAGTGCCTTGTAGATCTGATGATGATATTGATGGAATGGAAGTGACTAAAAGTTTCGGCCTGTTTAGGAGGATTAGCATTAATGTTTTCTTGATTATTATTAGAAAAAAAATGTCGCTTTTCAGTGTAAGATGAGTACCATATAAATAATATAAATAAATGTGTTGTGCAAAAAGTTGCATTTGGCCCTCCAGTGATCCATTAAAAATGTAAATATCAAAAAACTGGCCAGAAAAATTGTGGTGCTGAGGATGGGTAATATAGAAAGCAACTCTAAGACTGATGCTCTCTGAAGTAAAATTGGCAGAAGGAGAGCCGACCAAAGTGGACTCTTGTTTTCTTCCTACTTTACAAACAACATGGAATGTGTCTTCTACTTGGAGCAGCTCTCCTCCAATTAATTGACTAGTCAAGTAGGGCTAATTACCCCAATTTTCAATCCATTTTCTGACACAGGATGTGAATAAATACTAAAAGGAATCAACATCTCCCCTCCCTTTGCAAGTGGGCCTCTTGGGACCATTATTGTCAATTATACTGACAAAAGCTTTGTCTGTGGAAGTAGTGACGCACCCAAATCCACATTTCTCCCCTCTATAAAATTTGGGTTCCTTCCTGCCTGGGGAATCAGAGCTCCAGCAATTCAGTCAAGACATTAAGGTATGATTCCTCTGATCTGTAAGGTTCTGGAGTCAGGAGGTCTTGGTTGTTTGGTGGGTGGCTGAGGGTAATTCTGAAGGAACATTTATGTGGCAGATGGAAAGGTTGCTAACTGTTTTTTAAGGTGGGCATGGGATAGAAAAGAGTACTGAAAAAAGTCTTTATCTATAGAATTTCTACCTGTTGTACTGCTGTTCGGTGACTCGAGAGACCTATTAGTTAAATTTCTGTATGCTTGTATTTACCATGCATACATACCATGTACCCTCAGGTATGTAAATATCAAAGCATTTTGATGAAATATTCTAAAACTGTAGAACATTTTCAAGATTGTAGAGTGACGGCAAATCTGAACCATAGTTAATTATCACGCAAGGATCAAAACTTGATAGGAGAACAATTTTCCAAATTGTTTTACCCAGATTTTTGACTGCTTATTCAGGTTAGTGTAAAAATAGCAGTTTTCTTGAGGAAGTATTAACCATGTTTGTAGAACTAAAACAATCCATTCTGAACTTCAAAAATCTGGATAATCACTAGATAGCAGCATAGACACAGAAAATAGCCTTTGAATCTAGCGATCATCTCGGTTTTTGGCAACTTGATAAGGTGGCCTTAATGGAGATGCAATCCCCATGTCTTCTAGCATCTGATGTGATTGTAGGCTATAAGAATTATAATTCAGAATGCTTGTAGAACTATGGTAAAAGATTGGGAGAGGCATAGAAAAAGAGACATTATTCTTTTATAGAGTTCACACAGCACACTAAGCCAAATTTTGCTTAATCATGTTTTACTGAATAAAACATGGTCTGCGCATCAAATAGACCATAGCTGAATTCAGACTTTGGTTCACTTTGCCTGGCATGTGTATATTATCAACCATAGTGGCAATATAATTTCAGATAAATTGTTGTGTGTTTATCAAAATTAAAAACAACTACTAACTTTTAGATATCAGAGATGATAGTAAAACCAAAAAAAAATAAAAATGTAATCCTATTTTCCTACCAAGTAACAATTTATTAGCCAAGAAATGTCATGTGATTGGAAAGCAGCCTGTTTTCTTTGCTCCTCTTCTTCCCTCTGTCCAGATGAAGACTTCTTGGTATGTCTTTTGCTTTTCTTTGCTCTTCTGTGCGCTGCTTGGGGACTGTTTTGGAGTTGCGTTTGTGGTGAGTTGCAGCAGATCTTTCAAATCTATCTTGTCAATTTATTGGGGCAGAATTAGAGTACCAGCGGCTCTCACCACCAGAAGGAACAAGATGGTAAAGGTAGTGGTTATATACCATGGACGATGGAGTTTCAGATTGTGGATTTCAGATCTGAATGCTTCATGGTGTTGAGTGTTGTTCTAAGAATATGTATGATATGTATGTTTTTTTTTTAAAAGCATATGCATGATTAACTATGGAGGAATATCTGCACCAAGAGTATCTGTACTACTGTGGCATTTTCATCCAATTGGTGAAGGGGAAAATGGGGTCTGCTTTGTTGTGATCCACACAAGAGTTAGCCAACCAGAAAAACAGGGTGGTAGGAGCCCACGTTCTGTCTCAGTACTTTACTAGCTGTGTGTGATAGGATTTTCACACCATCCCTAATTTCATGGCCTTTTTGAGAGGTTCTTTCTCAGAGCAAATCATAGATGTGTTTCATGGCTACCTAGCCCACAAGACAATATATCACTCTGACAAAATACCATTCAGAGCATGTGAACACCATTTTGCCATTACAGAAAATCTGAGAAAGAGAGAACACATAATACAGAATAATAGAGTTGGAAGGGATCTTGGAGGTCTTCTAGACCAACCTCCTGCTCCCTATAACATTTCAGTGGCTGTCCACTCTCTTCTTAAAAGGCTCCAGTGATGAAGCACCCACAACCTCTGATGGCAAGCTGTTCCTCTGGTTAATTGTTTTCATTGTTAGGAAATTTATCCTTGGTTCGAGGTTACTTCTCTCCTTGATTACTTTCAATCCATTGCTTCTTGTCCTGCCTCCAACCTATTTTGGAGAACAGGTTGACCGTCTCTTCTTTGTGACAGCCACTCAAATATTGGAGCACTGCTATCCTTCCAGCAAGTCACTAAAAACATTTTTTTTTTAAAAAAAATTCCCATAAATTAAATTTTGTTATTCACAAGAATTTACATTCCTGTAATAGATTAGGGCAGTGTTTCTTCAACTGTGTGGATTTCAACTCCCAGAGTTCCCCAGCCAGTTTTGATGAAAAGAATTCTGGGAGTTGAAGTGCACATTTGCTGAGGTTGAGAAACACTGGACTAGGGACTGTCTTAAATTTTGTAAAACTTGCTCTGCTACTAATTTGACTTTTTTTGGGGTGGAGGGACAGATTATAATCAGGGTGAGGCTAATGCAAGTTTAACATCAGGTTTCCTACTGTTCCTTCTGTAGCCCAAGGACAAACGTGGGTGGACTCTGAACAGTGCTGGATACCTCCTAGGACCCCGTAAGTTGATTCATGATTTCACAGACAGGAGAAAACAGGGTTAAAGTGAAAGCTGCATTAAGGTCACAGGGGAAGAAATTCCATTGAACGTAATGACAATTCCTTCTAAGACAGTGTTTTTCAACCTCAATACCTTTAGGATATATGGACTTCAGTTCCCAGAATTCCCCCAGCCAGCACAGAATCAGAATCAAAAGGCTGGAAGGGACTGAGATGGATCGAGACTTCTAATCTAACCCCTTGTCCAAAACAGGGAGTGGGGGGGGGGGGGTTTCCTCATACCATCTTCTTGGACAAACGGTTTTCCACTCTTTTCTTGAAACCCTCCTGTGATGGAACACCCACAACTCCAAGAGACAAGCTGTCCAATTGCTTAATTACTCTCATTAAAGGTGTTATGGCTGGGAAACACTATTCTAAGGAAATATGTGTAGCATTGTATTATCAGCATGAAGGTGGGGGGGGGGTCTTGATAACTCCCTAAAAAGCAGCAGATCAGTGTTATTATTTCTGATAATTTTGCTCACCAGGGCTGAATCATGAACTTTTGAGGATCTGTTTGCAGATAAGAGTGAAAAAACAGGAAGGGAAGATTGTTTGTGATACTTTAAGAGAAGGTGATAAGTTGTTAAAACTTTATACTTTTGATAAAGGGTGAAGTAATGACTATATATACTTCTTCTTTATCATATTGTTATTCTTTCTTTCTTATGTTCTATTTTTCTATAATTTCTATTTCTTCTTTTTATCCTTTTTTAGAAGTTTGTATTAGTTTTTATCTATTTAATTGAAATAATATAATAATTAATAATGTTATTATTAAAAAAACTAAATAGCAGGGGGTCAGAGCAACAATCTAGCCTCTGAGCAACAAGTGAAACACGGTCTGGCTGTTATAATTGGTTCCCAGACTGATGAGATTCAGCACAGGTAGTCCTTGACTTATGACCACAATTGAGCCCAAAATTTCTGTTGTTAAGTAAGAAGTTTGTTAAGTGAGTTTTGTCCAGGGGTGGGCTTCAAAAATTTTAACAAGGGGTTCTCTGCCAGGAATGGGATTTGGGGAGGTTCTCTGAACTGCACAGAATCTTAACTAGAGGTTCTCCCGAACCCCTGAGAACCACCAGCAGCCCCCCTCTTTTTGTCCCATTTTATGACTTTACTTACCATAGTTGTTAAGTGAATCACTGCAGTTGATAAATTAATAACCTGGCTATTAAGTGAATCTGGCTTTTCCATTGACTGCTTGTCAGAAGGCTACATGACCTTGGGACCTAGCAACAGTCGCAAGTATGAACCAGTTGCCAATCATCTGAATTTTGATCACACAATCATGGGGATGCTGCAAAGATTGTAACTGTGAAAAATGGTCGTAAGTCACATTTTTCAATGCCATTGTAACTTTTGAACGGTCACTAAATCGAACTTTTGCAAGTCGAGAACTACTTGTACTGCTAATCCTCAATTTACGAGCACAATTGGGACCAGAATGTCCATTGTGTTTGTTAAGTGAGTTTTGCCTGATTTTACGACTTTTTTGCTACAATTGTTAAATCACTGCAGTTGTTAAGCAAATAAGTCAGTTGTTAAGGAAACCCATTGACTCTGCTTGTCAGAAGCTGGCTGGGAAGGCTGCAAGTGGTGATCATATGATCTTGTGATGCTTCAACCATTGTAATTTCATGTCAGTTGCCAGATGCCTGAATTTGAATCATGTGACCATAGGGAATTGTGACAGTTGTAAGTACGAGGACTGATTGTAAGTCACTTTTTTCATACTGTTGTAACTTCAAACAGTCACTAAACTAATGTGTATAAGTCAAGGACTACCTGTAAACCAGTATTGTATGTAAATAGCCAGCCTCTAGCTTCTCTGTTGTCAATGAGAAACATGCTTTCCTATTGGTTCATAAGAAGACATTTGGAAAGAAAATTAAAAGGTTTTTTTTTTAATGTATAGGGGATTTATGTATTCTAAGCAGAAAATAATTCAGTTGCTGGGATTTATTGAACTCTATATCATGTACAGTTAGTCCTCAACTTACAACCACAACTGAGCCCCAAAATTTATGTTGCTAAGTGGGAAATGTGTTAAGTGAGTTTTGTGACTTCTCTTGTTACACTTATTAAGTGAATCATTGCAGTTGTTAAATTAGTAACCTGGTTGTTAAGTGAATCTGGCTTCCCCATTTTGCTTGTTAGACGGTGGCAAAAGATTGGCATGTGAGCCTAGGACATTGAAAACGTCATTAATGTGAATCAGTTGTGAAACATCTGAATGTAAGTCACATGACCATGGGAATGCTGCAACAGTCATAGATCTGAAAAATGATCATAAATCAATTTTTTCAGTGCTGTTGTAACTTTGAACGGCCACTAAGTGAACTGTTGTAGGTCAATAAATCTTGCTAAAGAGAAATCTGAAGAGAATCAGGCTTGAAAAATAATAGCTTTTAGTCAGTTAAAATACTCTTGTTTAAAGTTAAAATTGCACTGAAAAAAGTGACATGACTGGTCCTTGCATTCTGACTATCTTAGCATCCCCATGGTCACAAATATCAAAATTTGGACCAACTTGGCAACCAGACTGTGTTTACAAACAATTACAGCATCTTGGGATTATGTGATCATTGTTTATAAATTACTTTCCTTCTGGCAAGGAAAGTAATTGGGTCAACTGGATTCACTTAAGGACTGTGTGATCTGCTTAACTGCAGTAATTCGCTTAACAACAATGACAAAATGGTTCTAAAATTGGTTATGATTCACTAACAACTGACTTGCTTAGCAACGGAAATTCTGATCTGAACTGTGGTTATAAATTAGAGACTATCTGTATTGCTTTGCTTATGGCTCCTTTGTGGGGGGAAAAAACTATGAGGAGATGCGATGATGGTGATGATATCTTCCTCTTTAGAAATACAGTGCTTCCAGATGGAGGCTTCCTGGCATTACTAATGCTAAGATTTAGAACTGAAATATGAGATGAAAGTCACCTCTATTACATTTCTGTGAATGAAAGAAAATTTGAACACTTGACAACTGACTCAGATCTATCAAGGGACCATATGATCCCCTCTTGCAACTTTCTGAGAAGCAAAGTCAGTGGGGAAGCAAAATTCACATCACAACTGTGTTATTACCATGTTTTTCCAAAAATAAGACAGGATCATATTTTCTTTTGACCCCCCGAAATAAGAGCTTGGCCTAATTATTTTTGAGGTGCAAGAGGTGGCGAGCGTACTCACCTCATGGCTACTGCTGTGTTGCTATATTTTCAGGGAGGACTTATTTTAGCGCATGCGCTTAAAAGCCCGATTGGGCTTATTATCTGGGGAGGCCTTATTTTGGGGAAAACAAGGTAATTTAACAATTGCATTGATGCACTTAACAACCGTGGCCAAGAAAGGTCACAATATTGGGCAAAATTCACTCAGCAAATGTTTCACTTAGCAATAGAAATGTTGGGCACGATTGAGGGCTCGTAAGTTGAGGACTTCATCTGGGAGTCTCCCGGTTCTCTTCCTTTCCACCAAATTCCTTTTTTTCCTGTCTGCTGGCAGTGGGGTGATTATAGAACGCCACCAGGCATTCAGTCCCTCAAGCGGCTCTTGGTTTTATAAGCCTGGTACAAACCATCTCTTTTTTTTTCCATGTAACCTGCAGCACTTCTTCCCTCCCCCCACTCTCCTCTCCCCAAAGCAGATGCCCACCAGGCGTTGCCTGATAAAGGAGCTGTGGCTGGGAAAAGAGATGCTGAGGAGGATCTGTATTCTGTGGGGCAGGATTCTGTTGGTGAGCATTCGTCAGCCGGCTTTTCTGAGCTCTCCCTGTATTTCCCATTATTTAGCCCCAGGGCTGTCAAACTCAAGACCCGGGGGCTGGATCNAAAAAAAACAGTAGCCAGTCTAAGGTTAAAGTGTTGGGGATTTGGGGAAAAAACCCTAGAGTCAGGTGGTGCATTCCAGGCATTGACCACTCTGTTGCTGAAATCATATTTTCTGCAAACGAGTTTGGGGCAGTTTACCTTAAATTTGTATCTGTTGTGTGCTCGTATGTTGTTGTGGTTGAAACTGAAGTAGTCATTGACAGGTAGGCCATTGTAGCGGATAATTTTATGTACTACACTTAGATCAGACTGAAGGCGGCGTAGTTCTAAGTTGTCTAAGCCCAAAATTTCAAGTTGGGTGGCGTAAAGTATTTTATTGCAGGTAGAGGAATTGAGGACTCTTCTTGTGAAATATTTTTGGACTCTCTCAATTGTATTAAGGTCTGAAATAAGTGTGGGTTCTAGACAGATGAGCTTCTTTGAGAACTGGTCTAGCAAATACACACGTGTGTGTGCGTGCTTGTGCATGTGCCAGAGTACTAGAAACCTAAAGACCAGGTGGCCAGCACACACATGCCTGTTTTTTGGCTGTTTTTCTGGCCATTTTCCGGCGCTCCGGCACCCGCAAAGGCCAGCTGGCTGGCCCGCATGTGCACACCAGAAACCAGAAGAGCAGCTGGCGATGGCGCACGTTCCTGCAGGGAGGGCTCTGCATGCCACCTCTGGCTGAATTGCTTTTCTACCCTAAGAAAAAGGGCACACATGCTGAAAGTTCGCCATCACGGCTGTAGTTACGGTGTTTCCCCGAAAGTAAGACAGGGTCTTATTTTCTTTTGACCCCAAAAATATGGCTTGGGCCTTATTATCAGGGGAGGGTTTATTGTTTTGGGGTTGCTGGGCGGCTCCTTGTGAATGTGGTCACCTCATGGCTGCTGTGTAGTGCTGCTGCGACAGAGCAACACAGCCGTTCAACCTTGAGGCTGCGCCTGGCTCTTCGGGAGCCAGCTCGCAAGAGAGCAGCTGCCTGGCAACCCCCCTCTCCAGCTGGGCACAGTGCTGCTCACTGACCTAGCGGTATCCCGAAGGCGCCAAGCAACACAAGCCTTTGCCCCCCACCTCGTTCCTGCAGCTTGACACCTTCGGGATACTGCTAGGTTGGGGAGTGGCGTTCTGCCTGGCCGGAGGGAGGGAGTTGCCTGGCGGCTGCTCCCTTGCAAGCAGGGCTCCCAAAGAGCGGGGCACAGCCTCAGGGGCGAAGCAGCCATGAGGTGACAACACTTACAAGCCTCCGCCCGGCAACCCCCCTCTCTAGCTGTGCAGAGCTCCATTCATTGACCTAGGGGGTATCCCTAAGGCGCCAAGCCATGTGGTGCTATGCCATCTCCCTAGCTCCCATGGCTGGGCACATTTGGGATACCCTCTAGGTCAGTGCATGGAGCTCTGCCTGGCTGGTGAAGGGGGTTGCACGAGCGCTGCTCTGCTCCAAGCGTAACACTTCTCAGGCTTCCAAACTCCAAAACTCGGCTGCCGAGTCTTCCAACAGTGGCTGCTCTAGGAGTGCGTTCTATGGTTGTGGGTCGGCTGCTGGACAGAGAATCTTCCAGACAGAGAGTCTTCCAGCAGCCAGCCACAACCATAGAGGCACTCCTAGAGCAGCCACTGCTGGAAGACTCGGCAGCTGAGTTTTGGAGTTTGGAAGCCGGAGAAGAAGTTATGCTTGGAGTGCAGCGGTGGCAGCGGCGCCTAAGCCAGGGCATGGTGGGGCTGGGAGGCATGTTTGCTGGGGGCGGAACAGGCACTCACACAACCCCCATCTCCAGCCGGGCAGAGCTCCATGCACTGATCTAGGAGGTATCCCAAATGTACCAAGCTGCGGGAGCTGGGGGGCGGGCAGAGCACCACCACGTGCCTTGGCTGTGCCCGGCTGTTCGGGAACCCGCTTGTAAGGGAGCAGCTGCCCAGCAACCCCAAAACAATAAGCTCTCCCCTATAATAAGCCCAAGGCCATATTTCGTGGGGCAGAAGAAAATAAGACCCTGTCTTATTTTGAGGGAAACATGGTACCTGCCGTCTTTGCCTACTACTCTACGCAGACTTGCAAAAGAGAGTGGAAATGTTGCCTCCATAGAGCATCTGCCTCTGTAACGAACGTTTGACTGGTGTTTTCTAAAAGACTTCCCATATACATTGCTCTTATGAAAGAGTGTAGCATCTGGTTTTTACACATAAGGGATTTTATATGGGCCCATTTTTTTACTGTTTTTATTACTTGGGGGTGTTGGTAATATTTTGTCCTCAACTTACAACAATTTGTTTAGTGATCATTCAAAATTACAGCACTGAAAAAAAGGGACTTATGACCCTTTTCCCACTTAACAATCATTGCAGCATCCCCATCATGGTCACATGATCAAAATTCAGGTGCTTGGCAACCGACTCATTTATGGGATCATGGGATCAGCTTTTGCAAACTTCTAACAAGCAAAGTTAGTGGGGAAGCCAGATTAATTTAGCAGCTGTACCACTAATTTAACAATTGCAATGATTCACTGAACAACCATGGCGAAGAAAGTTCGTAAAATGGGATAATGTTCACTTAACAACTGTTTTGCTTAACAACCGAAATTTTGGGCTCAATTGTAGTCGAGGATTATATCTTGCATAATCTGGATGCAAGATGTGCTTTTTCTTTTTTTAGATCAAAGACTGATTGGACGCCCGCCCTTCCCAGTGTCAGAAGAATCGGTGCAACCGTAGTGTTCTCCAGCCTGCCTCTTGTAGAGCTGCTTGTAGCATTGCAATTCCTTCCCTGTTTCAGACGTGCAGGTGTTGGTCAGATCCTTTGTCGTCTTTTGCCTTTGCTCATCTATTCAGCAATTTGCTCAAAAGAATTCCCTTCTAATCTAGCTAATCCTCCAGGTTACCCTTTACCTAATGTTGCCATTTGTACTGTAATTCCTTGTCTTGTACGGCCTCTATAACTCTCCCTCTTGGGGACATTCTTATTCTTTTCCCCAATGCAAACAATTGCAGGATATGCAACAGTACTGTACTTTCATTTCCTCGTATCCTTATAGCTTCGTGTTTTTAACAGACATTGGCACACTTCTTTTGGATCTGTGTTTTTGTACCTTCATGAGAAGGTCACAAATTGAGGTCTAGAAGCATGCAGAAGGTGCCTGTAGAAGAATATTTCCCAACCTTAGCAACTTTAAAATGTGTGGCCTTCACCCTCCAAAATTCCCCAGCCAGCATGGGCAACATTTGTGTACCACAATTCACATAAGGAAAAGACTGTATGAATTGTCTGCTGAATAAATTATCTCTTCTAAATTAACTTGCTTCCGGTATGGGTTCTGTTTCGCCAGTGGTGTTGCAGTGTGAGTGGACTCGTATTAAATCTGAGTTTGGTTCAGCAATAACACTAGCAGAAATGATTTGCAGGTGCTCTCTCTCCCCCCTCCATGAGAAGATTGGCAAGTGGATTGCATTAGTTTTAGTTTACTTTATTGTCATTGCACATCGTACAACAAAATTAAATGCCATCTTCAGTGTACATTATACATAAAAAAATAAAACAAAAGCACACATCCTTCACATTCTCTACAAATGAATTGAAAAGCCAATATTGCATTAGATTTAGATTTAGATACTTTATTTGTATGCCGCCCTTTTCCCTGAGGGGACTCAGGGCGGCTCACAATTCAGGGGGAGGGAGGACAAACAAGTTACAAACACGAAAACAATACATCATTAAAAGAGCACAACAGTCATACTATTCGAGTGGGGTTGAAATCTTTAGCCCCAGGCCTGTCGGGACAGCCAGGACTTAAGGACTACGCGGAAGGTCTGGAGGGTGGTGAGGGTGCGAATCTCCACGGGGAGTTCGTTCCAGAGGGTCGGAGCAGCCACCGAGAAGACTCTCCTCCGGGTAGTTGCCAGCCGACATTGGCCGGCTGATGGAATTTGGAGGAGGCCTAATCTATAGGATCTTATTGGCCTAGTGGAGGTGATTGGCAGTAGGTGGTCTCTCAAGTACCCAGATCCAATACCATGCAGGGCTTTGTAGGTGACAAGTAGCACCTTGAAGCACACCCGGAGATCAACAGGCAGCCAGTGCAGCTCGCGGAGGATAGGTGTTACATGGGTGAAACGAGGTGCACCCACGATCGCTCGCGCGGCTGCATTCTGGACCAGCTGAAGTCGCCAAATACTCTTCAAGGGCAGCCCCATGTAGAGTACATTGCAGTATTCCAGCCTAGAGGTCACAAGGGCACGAGTACATTAATATTGTACTATACCGTAGAAGTCAATATAGTTTCTGCCCTGGGATAGAAGCTGTTTTTCAGCCTATTTGTCCTTGTTTTTATTGCCCTGTACCGTCTGCCAGAAGGTAATAGTTAAAAAAAAGGGTGCCCAGGATGAGATGGATCTTTAAGAATGTTTTGAACTTTCTTAAGGCAGTGGGAGCTATAAAGCTCTTCCAAAGAGGGGAGAGTGCAACCAATGAGCCTCTGGACAATGACGTTAACCCTCTGGAGCACTGTCCTATCTGCCACTATGCAATTGGCAAACCATACACAGGTGCAGTAAGTTAAAATACTCTCTATGATGCAGCGGTAAAAGGTCACCAGTAGTTTTTCATTCAGTTGTTGTTTACTGCTTAATGCTGTAGACAGTGTTTCTCAACTTTGGAAACTTTAAGATGTGTGGACTTCAACTCTCAGCCAGAATTCCGGAGGTTGAAAAATGTTGCTCTAAAACTACAGAGTATCAATGAGAGAGATAACCGATTGACTGTCTACACTGAAGTGTTTGGGTAAAAATCCCTCTTGTCATTAATAGAAATCATAGTTCAGAAGCTGTGTGTGTGGAAGGGTGCTCATAAAACTAACAGAAATGGCAAAAATACAAGGAATTAATAGTAAACAGAGTTTGAAAGATAGGAGGGCAACGTTCAGATATTACATTATGACACTAATTGTGAATAAACAGTATTTGGTGTATAGAAAAAGCTAATGAAACCAGAATGTTCAGCCCCACAGCCTATTCAGTGTCAAGAGTCTATTGGAAATTATGTCTTGTTTTTAATAAACCAGTGTCATAAGCCACAAGCGAACCTTAGGGAAAAGCTGGACTCCAGGATTCCTGTTTGGATATATTGCTAAACAAACTGTATGGTCAGCCTGTTCAGGTTTGTGTCACAGTTTTTGCTGCAGAGAAGCCAGACAGCAGTGATGAAGTAGCTCATCTAAGCTTTTTCACTGCACCTAAAATTATAAATGGTATGTTTGTAAGCAGGTAGGAAATTACTACAGATGGATCTCTACTTATAACCACAATTGAATCCAAAATTTCTATTGCTAAGTGAGATATTTGTTAAGTGAGTTTTGACCCATTTTATGTTCTTTCCTGCCACAGTTGTTAAAGTGAATGATTGCGGTTGTTAAGATAGTCACAAGGTTGTTAAATGAATCTGGCTTCCCCTTTGACTTTACTTGTCAGAAAGTCGCAAAAGGGGATCCCAGGACCCTGCAACCAATCAGTTGCCAAGTGTCTGAACTGGTCACTGCAACGGTCACAAGTGTGAAACATGGACATGTCACTTTTTCGAGGGCCATTGTAACTTTGAATGGTCACTAAGTGAACTGTTGCAAGTTGAGGACTACCTGTATTTAAATATTGACAGTGTTGTGATAACTACAACCTTCTTCAACCTACTTTCTCTGTAAATCGTTGCTGTTCTGTTCATATTTCGCACAAATATTGCCACTGAAAAAAATGCAAAGCAGGCAAATCTCATATTTTATTAGAACGGGTATTGAAAGTGTCAAGCCAATAACGCAATTTACAGGCACACCAGTGGCACATATGACATGACCTCTAATTCATGAAGGGCATAATTTGAATTGAGCCTCTTGCTATTACAAGACTAGCTTCCTAGACCAACTCCTGGTTCATCTAACCATGCTTTTCTGAATAAACCACTATTATAAATCAGGCTAAACCAGAACAAAGAAACCCATATTATGGTTTATCGCAGCAAACAAATCTGCTCTAGAGAGTAGGGCATCTTATGTGGCTCTGATTTTGGGAGAAAGCAGTGAAGCCATATGAAAGAGAGCATGCTTTGGAGTACTAAGATCCCCAGGGACCAGGATCTACCTTTCAGATCCCATGGAAAGCCTGTAGAACAGGAGCAAATTCAGCTTCTAAGCTTCTACAGGTCTTTCCATTCTGTCATGCTAGAATTGGTCCTTGATGTGTGTGTGTGGGGTCTGTGAATGTAACAATACATAGTTTGACCCTTATTATGCATGATTTTATTCCCCTTCCCCCCATGTGCTGCTACTCCATTCTTAATCCGAATTTACCACTAAAAACTTTTGCATGTAAGAATTGAGCCACTTTTGCCTCTGCATCGCAGTTAACATCTTACTTTTCTCCCGGAAAGCTGCATCGTCTGCTACCACAATACTCCGCCTCCTGCGCCACCCTGGCACCCAGCCACTTGTATCTACTGCCCCCTTTTGGTTCGAAGCAGGTACAGCTTCTTTTCTCGCTAAACCCCATAAGTGGATTATTTTGTTCTGTCTTTCATCACGATTGCCATCATCTTGTGAGGCTGTGACATCTGAAGACATCCATTTGAGGCTCCAGTCCTGCAGAGTGATGGATGGTCTATAAATGCCCCATGGAATTAGGTCAGCCTTGAGGTCAATGTTGTTCTTTAATCCAGGATACTGAGAGACTTCACGCTTCCCAAACCTCCTAGGAGACAAAAGACATATGAGGTGTTATTGCTTTTTTAAGGAGAAAAATTAAAGATTGCTAAAGTTCTTTTGTCAGAAAAATGTTGCTCTTGTTTGTTTTATTTTTTAGATTTTGTTCCAATGTAAAAACTGCACATTGTAGAATAGAATTACACAGTGATCTAGTTTACATAGAACAATGTACAGTTAGTCCTCAACTTACAACCACAATTGAACCCAAAATTTCTGTTGTTAATTGAGACATTTGTTAAGTGAGTTTTGCCCAATTTGAAAACTTTTGTTGCTATTGTTGTTAAGTGAATCTGACTTTCCCATTCACTTGCTTGTCAGAAGCTTACAAAAGGAGATCCCAGGATGCTGGGATCATAAATATGAGTCAGTTGCCAACAGTCTAAATTTTGATCACATGACAATAGGGATGCAGCATGTGTGAAAAACACTCAAATCACTTTTTTTCAATGCCGTTGTAACTTTGAACAGTCTCTAAATGAACTGTTGTAAGTCGAGGACTACCTGTATTTTCTTTAGCTGATGGCTTAAAGAATGCTATAAAACAAGTCAAATCCGCAAATTCAGTCAATATTGATTCCCCTTTTTCCCTCTCAAGTAAAGCAAAATGATTTCTTTTTACTAGAGAGTGAAACCACAAGGTAGCTGATAGAAATAACAGCTGGATAAATAAATTTACCACCAAGAAAAAATATTGATTGAAACCCCTTTTGGAAGTCACCTTCGCCTCCTTTTAATTCTCAGGTGTCTTGAACATAATAACATTCAGTTCTGACTCTTCACAGGTAGTTTGAAATTCATCTTAAAGGCTTTTGAAACATGTGTTTAGATGTCAAGTTGTTTTGACTGAAATTACAGAATATATTTTGGAAAATGTGTCTGGAGAAAGTTAAAAAAAAACTAAAAAAAAACCAGGAATCGGGGAGAATCCTGAATATTGGATGAATCCTGATCGTAATGGAGGCATGCAAACTA